GTAGGTGGGTGGATACAGACAGGGGTGTGGGTAGGTGGGTTGATACAGACAGGGTTGTGTGGGTAGGTGGGTTGATACAGACAGGGTGTGGGTGTTCGAGGTGGGTGGATACAGAGAGGGGTGTGGGTGGTAAGGAAGTCGAGGTGGTGGATACAGACATGGGGTGTGGGTAGGTGGGTTGGGAGGTCGAGATGGGTGGATACAGAGAGGAGTGTAGGTAGGTGGGTTGGGAGGTCGAGATGGGTGGATACAGAGAGGGGTGTGTAGGTAGGTGGGTTGGGAGGTCGAGGTGGGTGGGTACAGAGAGGGGGTGTGTGGTAGGTAGGTGGGTGGGGAGTTCGAGGTGGGTGGATACAGAGAGGGGGTGTGTAGGTAGGTGGGTTGGGAGGTCGAGGTGGGTGGATACTGAGAGGGGTGTAGGTAGGTGGGTTGGGAGGTCGAGGTGGGTGGATACAGAGAGGGGTGTATGGGTAGGTGGGTTGGGAGGAGGTCGAGGTGGGTGGGTACAGAGAGGGGGTGTAGGTAGGTGGGCTGATAGGTCAGAGATGGGTGGATACAGAGAGGGATGTGTGGGTAGGTGGGTGGGGGGGAGGTCGAGGTGGGTGGATACAGAGAGGGGTGTAGGTAGGTGGGTTGGGAGGTCGAGATGGGTGGATACAGAGAGGGGTGTGTGTAGGTAGGTGGGTTGGGATGTCGAGGTGGGTGGGTACAAGAGAGGGGTGTAGGTAGGTGGGCTGTTAGGTCAGAGATGGGTGGATACAGAGAGGGGTGTGTGGGTAGGTGGGTGGGAGTTCGAGGTGGAGTGGATACAGAGAGGGTGTGTGGGTAGGTGGGTTGGGGAGGTCGAGGTGGGTGGATACTGAGAGGGGGTGTAGGTAGGTGGGTTGGGAGGTCGAGGTGGGTGGATACAGAGAGGGGTGTATGGGTAGGTGGGTTGGGAGGTCGAGGTGGGTGGGTACAGAGAGGGGGTGTAGGTAGGTGGGCTGATAGGTCGAGATGGGTGGATACAGAGAGGGATGTGTGGGTAGGTGGGTGGGGAGGTCGAGGTGGGTGGATACAGAGAGGGGTGTAGGTAGGTGGGTTGGGAGGTCGAGGTGGGTGGATACAGACAGGGGTGTGTAGGTAGGTGGGTTGGGAGGTCGAGGTGGGTGGGTGCAGAGAGGGGGTGTAGGTAGGTGGGCTGTTAGGTCGAGATGGGTGGATACAGAGAGGGTGTGTGTGGGGTAGGTGGGCTGTTAGAGTCGAGATGGGTGGATACACAGAGAGGGTGAAGGTAGAGCAGGTTGGGAGGTCCGAGGTGGGTGGATACAGAGAGGTGGGTGGGTAGGTGGGTTGGGAGGAGTCGAGGTGGGTGGATACAGAGAGGGGTGTGTGGGTAGGTGGGTTGGGAGGTCGAGATGGGTGGATACAGAGAGGGGTTTGTGGGTAGGTGGGTTGGGAGGTCGTGGTGGGTGGATACAGAGAGGGGTGTTGGTAGGTGGGTTGGGAGGTCGAGGTGGGTGGATACAGAGAGGGTGTGTGTGGGTAGGTGGGTTGGGAGGTCGAGATGGGTGGATACAGAGAGGGGTGTAGGTAGGTGGGTTGGGAGGTTGAGGTGGGTGGAAACAGAGAGGGGTGTGTGGGTAGGTAGGTTGGGAGGTCAAGGTGGGTGGATACAGAGAGGGATGTAGGTAGGTGGGTTGGGAGGTCGAAGTTGGTGGAAACAGAGAGGGGTGAAGGTAGACGGGTTGGGAGGTCGAGGTGGGTGGATACAGAGAGGGGTGTAGGTAGGTGGGTTGGGAGGTCGAGGTGGGTGGATACAGAGAGGGGTGTAGGTTGGGAAGTCGAGGTGGGTCAGATAATGTGGTTGAGTGGTTGTGACATGAGTTGGTGTGGGGATGGACACCGAGATGTGGTGTGGGTTGATGCGGTTAGTGTATCCGAATTCTGAGGAGGATGGATACAAAGATGGGGATGGACGGATACGAAGGGGCTTGGCTAGAAAGTCACGATGGTGTAGGTTAAACCGAAGATTGGGTAGGGTGATAAGATGATGATGAGGTTTTGCGAAGAGGAGAGGGTTGGCACAGACATCATAGTGGGGTTTGTTTGGGGGTTGTTGTTGTTTTTGTTTTGTTTTGTTTTGTTTGTTTTTGTTTTGTTTTTTGTTGTTGTTGTTTGTTTGTTTGTTGTTGTTTTTTTTGGGGGTATTTGTTGGTTTTGTGGGTTTTGTTGGGGTTTTTTAATACTAGCGGGGAATTCCTTTTCCTATGCATTGTTTGAATCAGACACTAACATGTACATGATTGCATGTAAAGACAACTGGATACCACTCCAAAGGACATTACATCTAGAAAGATTTGTCATATTCAAAATATTCACATAAGTTTCTACTGTACGCTCTGAATACAGGTTCGTTATAATTGCATCAGAATTCATTTTAGCAAGAAACGATTTTCGAAAAGAACAGGTCGAAGATAATTATTCGTCTGTGCTAACATAGAATTACAATCTGATATAAATATTTCACAATAACATTCTATTAATGGTGTATTTTACGTGTTTTTGTCAACTCTTTTTATCGTCCACTGTATCGTCACATCTGTAATTATCTTCGATTAGAATATAAAGTATGTATGAATACAAAATATGGTATCGGGAGATTATTATGCTTCTAATTTCCTGCAGCTTCCATCAATAAACCACTGCTTAGGGCTATAACTCTCAGACATTGTCAGGCGCCGTTCCCAGACACATCGGACAGCCACGAGCACCTGCAGGCAATGACGTCATAGCTTGAGCGTCAAACAATAGACAATGATTCTTGAAGCATGATCTCCAGATTGCTTTAGATGATGCCAGTGCAGAGGTTAGGAAATTGAAATGTGAACATTGCGGATAAAAATCAGTTAATGCTGTTTTAATCTAATTGTATTAACAATGAGATCAGAATTATATTGTTTTTATCCAAATCTCTGATAACAGTTTTCCGTTTCAGAATACGTTCAGATTCCAAAACACAGTTTTATGAGAGAAAAACATAAGGATATTAAAGGTTAAGTCGTTGATATGATAACTGTAGGCAAACATTAGATCACTATTAAGTATTTCATTAATAGGGTATATTTCTTGAAAACAAAATTACTTTGCGTTCACTAACCGTCTATGTAATATACGCTTTGAGATTTAAAGGCACGAAACATACACAAAATGCATCTCAAAGACAATTATGGTTATACTACCAAAAGACGTTACGAATATCCAAAGATTAGCGACAGATCCATCAAGACACCTGATCTGGCTTGACCATCAACACCTGGACCTGATCTGGCTTGACCATCAACACCTGGAGCGACTGGACATCGTGGTTAACGTTTTGGCTGGCCAAACCTTGTGCAATTCCCAAAAGGATTATTCTGTGTAAAGCCCATTCTTGGTGTCCCGCTCCGTGATATGTACTACCAAAGTTTGCTGAGGATCACTGTTGTAAGACGAAATACGTCAAATTGTGTACATCTGTTGAAATAGCAAATACAAAGGCACTCACGGAACAAGTCCGCTGACATATGGCACACAATACCCAGTAACACGATGAGACCAGTGGTCACTTAGACCACCCGTCACATTGAGAGTATCTCACATTGTGACACGACGATCTGTGAAGACAGTATCTAGATTCATCAGCAAAAGCCGCTGGAGCCCAGACCCGGTCTGATGTGACCTTCAGTCCACCTGCCTGCCTGCCTACATAGCAGTGGGGTGCACGTGTACTCCGATACCAATCACTTGCTGAGTGTAATCCAGTGACTGACAGTGTGAGCATGGATTTGATTCCCTGTGTGGTAGAACTCAGAATCGCTGAGTACCAGATCCAAACACCTGGTGTTTATTCTCTGCCCTGCCAATCTCACTTTGACTCACACCAAAGACGTTTGTAAGTTGGCGTAATGATGACACAGTTTAAACATCCCTTGTAATCTTCGGTCGTCGAACGTCGACGCGGAGGGACTTTATTGCATGCAGTTGCTGAAATCCTCAGCATCTATATGTCGTGATTTCTGATAATGATGAGCAATGATTCTGTGACGATACGTCCAAACATAGGTTTTACAACAGTTGGTACACGCCGTGTCCACGACTGTAGACATTGGCCCAGTTAACATTGGTATCATATTGTGCTTACCCATCATGGAGTACCGGGACATTTCAATCATTATTTATATAACATTTGTTTTCCTTTTGTATTATCAACTGATCATGAACTTGATCCCAAGCAAACTTTGAGTAGAAATATTACGAAAAGAGGTGTAAAACTCACTCACTCATACATCAACAACTAAGTGTTGCTGCCGCTTCAGCGGATCCTGCAAAAGAGGATGCAGGATGCTCATCCCAGTGTTGAAGCACAATCATCATGTTGGCGTATAAATAGATACAACGAAACCCATTAATACAGTTACGCATATTGTGCTAACAAACCAAGAATGTCTTCTGAACAACGTGCTGACATTTGGGAGTTTAGTGCAGCCATTCCACTAGGCTAACGCTTAATCCCTGAATATATAATTATAATTTTGATAGCAACAAATAAACCCATTTAAATTGAAAGGGGCCGAAGGCAGACCAGAGATTCAGAACCTGTGAAAATTTAGACTTGCTTCATTTAGGGCTTTCATTGCAGGGAGGGCTAGGCATAAGGGAAAGTAATGTGGTTCAGGGACTGTGAGACAGACTACCATTCCACCATCCACACATCTACTCGCCGCCCCCATGCCCAGTCCGTCCCTTCACACTTGTTGCTGCTGCTGTTGGTGTTGATGCTGACGGATCAAATGACGACGTAATTTAATCTGTTGCATATACATTTACACAGTACATGGCATGTTATACTGTTCAGACCACTAAACAATAAATCCTGAGTCTCATTTTATAGATTGCCGTCATGAGTTATCTGTCTAGTAGCCCAAACAGTGCCATGTCTAATTGTCTGTGTCCGGGATCACAGCACAGTACACAGTGTCTATCAGTAAATCGATTTATTACAACAATGTGGCAACAAAAATATATCAACCAACTGGCCTCGTTAGTAAATTAGGTCTTAAATACTGGTCCCGTTGGAGCAACTATCCACTGAAGTGGATAACAGTTTATTTATTTCACGGTATAGTTTTGAAATACGTTTGGCGGACATATTGACACTGACGATCCGCCTACAGCTGATGATATCACACGGGTTTGCTTTGGAACTCAGCCAGAAAGAAAACCCTTCGTGGCCTATGTGTGATAACCCCGCTTCCTGGGCCAGAACTCCAGTAATAAAAACATCCTCAAGATGGATTAGTCTTAGATTCGGCAAGACATTCAGTAAAAGTTGTAACGCTAGTTTGGACATGACGTACCCACCCCCGGCAACATAAGGGGGGAAGGTATCTGCCGGGAAGACGGTATAAGGCACTGACCACTCGTCCCTAGGGTCTCTTATGACCCGAGCACTTGAACTGAGAGCCCCCAATATTTGTTTTGATCCGATGACCCCCCTCCTCAGCTCACTCAGTAAATATGGCACATTTAAATAAATGTCATCATCACACTTCATGTAATACCGAGTCCTGGGCACGTTCTGCACGACCCAATCCATTCCTTTAATTACTTTCCGTGAAAGATTCCTGTAGTCTTCGACAACATCAACTTGGACTAAATCCCCGTGTATTACAACTTCCCGTCTTATTAATTCCTGCCAAGAACCATCAGTCGTCGTCCCGACTAGAAACACGATTGCCGCACCACCCAAATGTTTGACATCGTTGCCCCATGTTGCCCTTATCGTCTGCCTCAACTGCACGTGCTCTGGATGCGAGCAGACGACAATTACCACAGTCAAACTAGACGCAAATCGAAGATCAGTATGGGAGTCAGATAAGGAGTGATTTTTCTTTTTATCGATTTTGTGTTTGGTATCATCGAAACCGAGGTAATTCCGTTTTTTAAGGAAATCCCCATCCTGTAGAGAATGGCGAAATAACAAATGTCTGTCATCGAGTTCCGATATGCCTTCGTCTACCGCCGTTTCCTCCACAACGCTCCGGATCGAACCCAGCTGGCTGTCCATTAGGAAAAAACACAAAATGCACAAAACAATTACACAGATATTTTTTGTCTTCCGAATCGACAGTTGTGGCCTCCGTCCCTTAAGAAATAGGCACACTTTCATTTCCAACTTGGTAAATAACCTTCGCACCAATCGATTAAGTAGATCCAAAACGCCTCTCAATGGACACAGACAGGCTCTCTTCAGCATGTACAGCATTGGGAAAAACACACGGATAAACATCCATTGTCAGGCAGGAGATAACTTCACTAAAGTTCACACACAAAAAGTAAGATTACTCTCTCCAATCAATTAAACCAATCGATCAGCCCCACAACCTAAGTTCATGCCTTGTGAACTCAGAACACATCCAGGATATAGTGGGGCACATGCTAATACACAGATGACATATTCCAAGTTCTTTTAAAAGCTATAAATATTTGATCCTTGTACACCAATTCAGTCCAGTTCAGGGAATTAAATATCTCCCAGTTTAAAATCCGTGAAAATGGCAAAAGGACATCCCTGTAAGCAATGCACTGATCTTGAACATTCACTTTGAATTATGTCGGTTAATCAAACACATACAAATCCCATATCGTTTGAAGCTGACACAGTCATTCCCGAAGTAAAGTCGCTGTGTAGTGTTGTTGCCGCCCCGTCAGTGATGTAACTGCAGCCGCCGCATGTGCAGTTGTCCTACTCCGTCACAACTCGAACAAAGCACCAGGCAAAGGGCACCTGCTATTAACTGCCTTTGTTCACCTGTGATCGGCCAAACGTTTTGCCGGTGAAGCAGTTCATCCTTGTATTAGCGCCCACCGATCCGTCAAACAACAGCTGGTCGTGGTAGATGAATACTTCTCTTTTCTTTGCAGACTGTGCATTAAATATGACTGAGTTCTAAGGAGTCCTTGAGGGTTTTTTCACACCACGGTCGATTTAAAGGCTGTATTTGCTTTTTCTTACACGCAAACATCTCCAAAGCACATTTAGCTGTTGTTTAATGGTCCTATGACAAGTCATAAAAATGGGACTTGTCTTTTCCAATACTGCCCTTTTTATTCGAGTGTACTTGGATAAAGCTTCTTGTCCGACTGCAAATCCTAGAAATGTGCTTCAGCCCATGTTCTCGGGTTTAAATGGACACATCAATCGATCCAGCTCTTCCAAAGTAATTCTGTGACCGATATGTTCGGCCCTGCCTCCATTGTCTATCTTATTTCATATCCGATACATTTGTCTTCTAACGTAGCAGATGGACTTGCAGCTAATCCTCCAAGCAGGCCAGTAAATCAGACTCAAAAGTATTCCTTACTTTTCCAGCACCCCGGGACAACTGCCGCTTGTCCTGCCCCTCCGCCTCCGGCTTACATATGAATCACTCAGTCCTCCGTCTTCATCCAAACAATAGTAATTAGCAACAACCCAGTGATCCATGACTTTGCTTCGATCAATGAGAAGACTCGGTATAATAACTGGATGTCAAACCAAGTTAGCCTAATTGCTTCCCCTGCAGTTGATGCAACAGTTCCCCTAGTGGCCGCTCTTTAACTAATCGATCTGAGCGTGTTGCTCGAGATATCAAAGATTGCATGGACAGGCTAGATTTTCTCAGTGAACGCTCGGCGCCAAAACGCGGTCTCAGGCATTCATCAGAATCGGACTTTTCCAACTTTGATCCATCAGCTTGCCCCATCAGTCATAACTGTTGGAAGAATCTTTGTCGTCTGCTCGGCATTAAAGGCGGGAACTGCAGCAAGCACTGGAAATTTATGTTGTACATATCGTGGAATTCCCTTCACGGCATTGAGCATATGGGAATCGATTATGTGTGAACGGTGGATTAATGGTCTCAAATGTCGCCGAGTCTGTACGGGGAAGCTTGCCAGTAATGTATCCTTGAACTGTGTCTTTCTGACACGTTTCCCTGTGTGTCATTGGGTGACGCCCGATAAAAGTTCAAATCTTTCGTTTTCATTGTTTACGTGGATTTAGTCATATTCGAATGGACTTTAGCAAACGTTTAATAGGTCGATCCTTTTCGCGTCTTTTTTAAGACTGTTAAAGTGTACACTAGGATAAAATTAATACCCTGAAATATCTATAAGTTGTTATCATGTCAACCAATCTCGGATCACCGAAGAGGCGCGAGGACTGGAGGCATATATATATTAAGCTCTTTCTTCAGTTTTTAGTTTCTATATGCCGTGAAAAGCAGTTCAGTTATGACTGAACCATACATAGCGGATATTATAGGTTGTAAGACTGTCATAATAGCTCAGCATACATACCAGATACTACAGTCAGTTGCCATAATAACACTGTGGGCATACCAGATACTACAGTCAGTTGCCATAATAACACTGTGGGCATACCAGATACTACAGTCAGTTGCCATAATAACACTGTGGGCATACCAGATACTACAGTCAGTTGCCATAATAACACTGTGGGCATACCAGATACTACAGTCAGTTGTCATAATAACAACTGTGGGCATACCAGATACTACAGTCAGTTGCCATAATAACACTGTGGGCATACCAGATACTACAGTCAGTTGTCATAATAACACTGTGGGCATACCAGATACTACAGTCAGTTGTCATAATAACACTGTGGGCATACCAGATACTACAGTCAGTTGCCATAATAACACTGTGGGCATACCAGATACTACAGTCAGTTGCCATAATAACACTGTGGGCATACCAGATACTACAGTCAGTTGCCATAATAACACTGTGGGCATACCAGATACTACAGTCAGTTGCCATAATAACACTGTGGGCATACCAGATACTACAGTCAGTTGCCATAATAACACTGTGGGCATACCAGATACTACAGTCAGTTGTCATAATAACACTGTGGGCATACCAGATACTACAGTCAGTTGCCATAATAACACTGTGGGCATACCAGATACTACAGTCAGTTGCCATAATAACACTGTGGGCATACCAGATACTACAGTCAGTTGCCATAATAACACTGTGGGCATACCAGATACTACAGTCAGTTGCCATAATAACACTGTGGGCATACCAGATACTACAGTCAGTTGTCATAATAACACTGTGGGCATACCAGATACTACAGTCGGTTGCCATAATAACACTGTGGGCATACCAGATACTACAGTCAGTTGCCATAATAACACTGTGGGCATATCAGATACTACAGTCAGTTGCCATAAAAGTGAGTGAGTGCGTTTAGTTTTACGCCCCTTTTAGCAATATTCCAGCAATATCTCGGCGGGGGACACCAGAAATGAGCTTCACACATAGTACCCAAGTTGCCATAATAACACTGTGTGCATACCAGATACTACAGTCAGCCATCATTATATACCACTATGGGCATACGGATTTGTCTGGCAGAGGCTCCAACATTGCTACCCAAACCACACATACCCTTTTCCTCTCTGAATAATCTGATCAGGGCCCTCCTGGGGCCTTCTTGATCTTGAAGACCTAATGTACATAGGTACAGACTGCCTAACAACTTAGTCACAACAAGATCGGTACGGAAACGAATGCTATTTCCATCAGATGAGCCCGTTTTTGTAACAAACACAAGGTCGAGCTGAATTTATATTCAGTTGACGCGAGAAACAAGAGTAATTGCAGCTGCCCCAACCCTGCTAACTCTTCGGTCAGTGTTTGTATTAATAACTGAACCTTCACACCCCGCGAAATTGGTCATCGGAGATTTGAGATGAGGGATCGATTTGGATACGCGCATAATTTAGGAACACAGTTATTCCGGCTAGTACTGCTGATATTTGCAAATGATCTCTCTGGGATGGTTTAAGGGGCTATATAAGGTACCATATTACGCTAATGACAAATGCCCCCATTTCAAGACGCGGAATGCTACTATGGCGTGGTTGAATTTCAAATGGAAGTAAGGTTGGCAATTTTGCATCATTCCCCTTAAGATGTTTTTGAGTGGAATAATTTTATTCTGAAAATATCAGATTTCACACAGAGACGGAAATATGGAGCTTAGGGAATTCAATTCCTTGAAGATGCAATAAATTGTCCTTTCTGAGACCTGCCTGCAAGTGATCAGAGGAACGGTTCTCATGTCACTGTAATGAATATTCCGATTTTTTTTAAATGAAAGAAAACTCTGCAGCACATCGGTTCTAATTATGATTTACCGTCTGGATTTTTGGCATCTGTCGTCTTTAAATTATAGGACATAACATCTTTAAAAGACAGATCTGTGCCTTTGGGAGAAGCCACTGTAAATTAATGTCAAACAAAACTTTGGTGGTCATGCTCGTCATTAACCCCCACGCTGTTGATAAAGTACAATTTTTAGGGGAAGAGCTTTTCCTGGACTACACACCAGGCCCCGATTTCTCGAAACAAACTTAACTTTTTACTCAAATTTCAAACTGAGTTTGACAATTTGAAACAGCTGAATTTTTAACTCAACTGCATTTTTTAAATTAAAAAGCCCAAACAACTGAAGTAATCTAATTACTAAACTCAAATTGTCTACTATGTTTGAGTTTTAGTATTGATTTCAGTTTATTCTGGGAAATGCATTTTTCTGTGTTTTCTCAAATTTTAGTAAAAACTCTAACTTAAGTCAAAACTCAGACTTAAGTTTGTTTCAAGAAATTGGGGCCAGGTCAACACTGAACATTGCGCGTCACGGTGCAAATAGACTAAAGACTAAAGACAAAAAGGCGGTATTATAGGCGGAGTTCGATTGAATTAAATATCGGCATGTTGTTTGTAAATGTGCGTGCGTGTATGTGTGTGTGTGTGTGTGTGTGTGCGTGCGAGCGAGCAAGCGAGCGTGCGTGCGTACGTGCGTGCGTGCGCGCACGCACTTAACAAGTGTGTGCATATCTCAGGGTTTCATCTTGACCAACAAAATTAGGGGTCCACAGTACCCCCACTTGCTAATTTCAAGAGTCTTCACGTGAAGTCCAAGCGTCCTGTAAGGTTATGCAATGATGTGAATAATTCAGTGAACAGTGAAAATTATTGTCCGCCCCACATTGCTGCGTCGCGTAAAACCATAGTACCTGTGTCTCCCTTTGTGTGTGAATGTCTGTGTCTGTATCTGTGTCTCTATGTGTGTGCCTGTCTGTATGTGTGTGCGTGCGGGCGTCTGTGTCTCTTTATGTGTGTGTTACAAAATGCGTGCGTATCTGTGTCTCTATGTGTGTGCCTGCATGTGTGTGTGTGTGCGTGCGTGCGTGCGTCTGTGTCTCTTTATGTGTGAGTTACAAAGTACGTGCGTATCTGTGTCTCTATGTATGTGCCTGCCTGTATGTGTGTGCGTGCGTGCGTCTGTGTCTCTTTATGTGTTTGTTACAAAGTACATGCGTATGTGTGTGTGTGTGTGTGCCTGCCTGTATGTATGTGCATGCGTGCGTCTGTGTCTCTTTATGTGTGAGTTACAAAGTACGTGCGTATCTGTGTCTCTATGTATGTGCCTGCCTGTATGTGTGTGCGTGCGTGTGTGTGTCTCTTTATGTGTGTGTTACAAAGTGCGTGCGTATCTGTGTCTCTATGTGTGTGCCTGCCTGTGTGTGCGTGCGTCTGTGTCTGTATCTGTGCGTGTTACAAAGTGCGTGCGTATCTGTGTCTCTCTCTATGTGTGTGCGTGTCTCTCTCTGTGTGTGTGCGTTCGTGCATCTGTGTCTGTGTTACAAAGTGCGTGCGTATCTGTGTCTCTCTGTGTGTGCCTGTATGTGCGTGCGTGCGTGCATCTGTGTCTGTGTTACAAAGAGCGTGTGTATCTGTGTCTCTGTCTATGTGTGTGCCTGTCTCTCAGCGGGTTGGTGTGTACGTGTGTTGAGTGAACGCAAGGGAAAGGGCTAACCATGTAGAACAGCGACATGACTCTTGGTTACTGCAGATAACCAGAAACGATTCGGTAATGACGAACATTGATTCACGGAGTTCACATGATATACCTATTTTGAACACAACGGTAGATAAACTGATTGTATATTTTACATGACAGAAGTGGGTGAAGTTTTCGGGAACAAAGTGCAGTCGGCCGTGAGATTGTTTGATTAACTAAAGCGACGTAAAATCTTATTCTGTTTTCTAAAAGGATAGGTACGTGCGATTTTTACGTCCCCTTAAGCACAATTCCAGCAAATAATTGACTCCAAGAATGGAGTTCACGCCTTCGACTCATGCGAACATATGGAACCCGGATGGTTGAACGCTCCAACAGCAAGGCTACCAAGCTGCACAGAGTAAGATAATGCTTTTTTTCCAAAGGTTTAAATGTAATAATAATAATAATAATACACAAGATTTGTATAGCGCCTTAATTGCTTATTTAAAAACACTCTAAGTTAACATATAAAATACTGTTATACAGGTGGTATACAAGTGATGCTAAAAGATGAAACATCTAACACATGGTAAAACACATACAAGGAGTAACATTCTACAGCCAGGGATTCATTATGTGGAATAAGCAGCTTTAAAAGATGAGTTTTAAGAGCTTTCTTAAAATGTCCAGTGAGGAGAGAATTTCGGTCATTGTAGACTGTTCCAAAGACTGCTGTGTTGTCAAACATCTGTGGCTACGTTACTGTGCGTGTCTTTGGTTGACAGAGTCGGGATTCAGATTCTGATCTGAGTACCTGGCTGGATGATATGTAAAGCCTGAACATTGCATACTCAAGATCTTATGATGACAAATACAGCTGGGATATTTAACTATACCCTGAACATTGTTGATGACAAA